TGCATTTTCTCCTGGAGCTTAATGTCTTCCTTTGTCTCTGGAGTGGCACAGATCAGAGATCAGGGCTACCAGTTCAAACAGCTTGTGTGCAGTGGATCTCAAGTCAGCCCTCCCTTACACAGAGTGCTGAGAAAAGGCTTTCTTTGTAGCTTTGTGTCCCAATGTCTTTTGTCCTGTTTGGCCCCTTGGATGGCCCCTAACAGCTGCCGAGGCAAGGAGCCTCAGATGGAGGGACTATATTCTCAGAGAAGCCTCAGTCCCTTCTCCCATAAACAATGGAAAATACTTGCTTTTGGAACAGAGCCTCACCTCTCTCACCTTTTCTTCTGCATCTTAGAGTCTTCCTTTGTCTCTGGTGTGTCAGGAGATCAGCACACCTAGCTCAAACAGCTCAAATGCAGGGGTCTCAGGTCAGCCCTATCTCTCACAGAGAGCTAAGAAAATTCTTCTCTGCTGTAGCTCCGTTTCTTGTCCTGTTTGGTCCCTGGTAAGCAAGGATCCCCAGATGGAGGGACCTATAACCCCAGGGAAACCTCAGTCCAATCTCCCCACAAGCCTGGAATTGTCCTTGATGGAGCTAAAGAACACAGGAGCCAGAGACCCTGCTGGCAGCTGCACTCTCCTTATGTGATTTGGGGTCAAGGAAACAAGGCCTTGCCTGATTCTGGTGGCTCAGTTCTCAGCACACTCTCAGTTCTCACGTGTAGCTTGGTGGGGATCTCTCCAGTCTGAGCCCACCTCTTCTGAAGTTCGCAGTTGTCTTTTGTGGAGCTCCTTGGTCTTTGCAGTGGCATGGCCAAGCTCCTCAAATCTCTACTCTCTCTGGTGGTTTAGGGGCAAGGTCCTGGTCTTCAGTTTATGATAGGTGAGGGAGATGTCTTGTCAGGATCCATAATAGTAGTAACCCCCTCTTTTAATCCCCTTTATATTGGTGCATCCCAAAGCAAGGGTATCTATGTGTTAGTGAACAGGAGGAGTAGTAATGGCAGATAGGATAAGGGCAGGAAATTGTCCTGGGCCCTTTTTTTTTACTCATAAAAGATTTATTAGTGGCAAAAATAAAAGCCAGAAACTGTAAGGTAGTATCAAGTAGAACATGAAACATAAAAGTTAATCTCCAAGGTTCCTCTCCTTGTCAATCACACAGCACATGATTCACCAATGGATCATAAACCATCAAGATATATGTAAGATATCTCAATACAGGAAAACCAAGATGCAATTTACAGAGATATTTTCTTTACTCCATTCATAACACAGTCCCAAAGTAGCTGTTTTACCCGGTAAACTTGGTAATATATGATTGTGCCATAAACCACATCTTGAGGAGGTACTCTGTGGGCTGGGGCAGGTGAGTTAGGAATTCAGCTTAACACCCTCAGGCTGATTTAGGATTCCAGTGCCTCTAACTTAGGGAGCAGGGGGAGGAGTAATCTGTGTAGTAAATTTTGAAATCAAGGAGCGCTATGCCTCTCACTTTATTTTTGTTTTTCAGAAGTCCTTTGTTTATTTGGGGTCTCTTTGCTATTCAAATACATTTTCTAATTGCCTTTTCTGTCTCTGAAAAATTAGTTTAGTATCTGTACTGGAACTGCATTAAACATGTAGATTGCTTTTGGCAGGATTGTCATTTCCACTATGTTGAATCTTCCTATCCATGAACAGGGAACATTTCTCCATTTAGCTGAGTCTCTTATTATTTCTCACAATAGTGTTTTGTAATTTTCCTTATAAAGGTCTTTGTTTCTCTAATTAGGTTTATGCCCAGGTATCTCAATTTATGGTTGGCTATTGAAAATGGTATTGCTTTGTAAATTTTCTGTGTTTTCTTTGTTACTGTAGAGGAATCCCACTGGTTTTTGTATATTGATCTTACAGTCGGCCATCCTATTAAATTGGTCTGCTAGTTGTAACAGGATTTATTTTTTGAATCATTGATGTTTTCTGTGTACACGATCATATTATCTGCATATAGTGACAGTTTTACCACTTCTCTGCTGATTTTGTTGCTTTTTTATTTCCTTCTCTTTTCATATCGCCCTAGCAAGTATTTTTAATACAATATTGGATAGAAGTGGTGATAGTGGGCATCTTTATCTGGTATCTATTAAAATGATAATTCCTTTAATCTTTCTCCATTGAGAATGATGTTGGCTCTTTATTTTGTGCATATACTTTTTATTATGTTGAGGAAATTATCTTCTATTACTATATTTTTTAGTATTTTAATCGGGAAATGTTGTTGGACTTTGTCAAAGGCCTTTTCTGCATCAATTGATAGGATCATGTGGTTCTTGTTCTTTGCTTTACTAATGTGATGAATATCACTGATGGCTTCTTATGTTTAACCACCCTTACATATCTGTTATGAATCCCACTTTGTCATGATGAATTACTTTCTTATATACTGTTTTGATATATCTAATGGTTAGGAGAAGCATGGCATCAGGACTGGTGGAAAATTCATCATCAATCTGCATTATGCTGATGACACAACCTTGCTTGCTAAAACTGAGGAAGACCTGAAGCGCTTGCTGTACAGGGTCAAGGACTGCAGCCTTCAATATGGATTAAGGCTCAATATCAAGAAGACAAAGATTCTCACCACTGGGCCAACTGGCAGCATCAGGATGGATGGTGAAGAGATTGAGATTATTCACCACTTTAGCTTGCTTGGCTCCACAGTCAACACTCTTGGCACCAGCAGCCAGGAAATTAAAAGATGTATTGTGATGGGAAAGTCTGTTGTTAGGGACCTCTCCAGGGTACTGAAGAGCAATGGTGTCACTCTGGAGACTAAGGTATGCCTGATACAGGCCATGGTCTTTGCAATCACTTGCTATGCATCAGAGAGTTGGACAATAACTAGGGAGGATATAAGGACAATTGATGCCTTTGAGCTGTGGTGCTGGAGAAGATTATTTAACATACCATGGACTACTAATAAAATGAACAGGTTCATCCTAGAGAGGGTTAATCCACGCTGCTCCTTGGAGCCAAGGATTCTGAGACTTCATCTGACATATTTTGGACATGTTGCAAGGAGGGATCGGAGAGGAATGTCATGCTTGGGAGGGTGGAGGGACAGCGCAGGAAGGGAAGACCCTCTATGAGGTGGATTGATTCAGTGACTGGGATAATTGGGGTGGGTGTGTTGGAGACAGTGAGACTGACACCTGACAGAGCAGAGTTTAGGGCTGTTGTACATAGGGTCGCTATGAGTCATAAGCGACTCAACAGCACATAACAACAACAGCAACAACAATAGCTAGGATTTTGTTAAGAATTTTTTTTTCTTCACATATTTAAGACACCACAATAATGTATCCTCACATGTAGATCTTTATTTAATCACGCCCACCGATTTCCTCCCATTCCCAATCAGAAGCAGTAAATTGTGTGGGAAGAGATTGCCCATCCTTCTCCCACAACTCCCATTAGGAGGTACATTTTTATGGCTAAAGAAAATAAAGTAGGCTGAAAAAAATATCATTCATTAAATTAAATATAATATTCTTTAAAAATACCTAATAAGGGAGAGTGCTGAAGCTTTTTCAAGGTACAAGGCCAATGGCAACAAATGTAGGGAGCCAGGGTTATGATTGATATCAGAACATAGTCTGCAGAGCAGGAAAGGAATCAGGGGCACAGAATTTTCTGATCTGATGATCCTCAGTTAGACTGTGATCCTGTCAGATGGCACATACAGGCTTCAAATTCCCTGAGCAGCTAGAGGCAAAAGGCTAGGCAGAGTCTTTGGCTGAAAGAGGTTAAGGAGGAAGAGGAAAGAAATGATCAGAGATAAGAAGTCATCAAGAAAAGGCAAGAAAATGAGTCATAGGGGTATGGTAGGGAGGTGCTTTGCTCTAGATTCAATAATGTACAGAGTAAAAATGATGCTGGGGTCCTGAATGGTTACTTGGAACGAATGTCAGCATCATCTTCAGGTAAAAATTTAAACCAACTTGCCAGATATTAGAGATCAGAAATTGAACCAGGGCCTCAAATTTGCCAAAATAAGGTGCATCATAGTTGTCTCTATACTGCTGTCACAAAGACTAGCTGGTTTCAAAGTCAGATGGAGTTTTACCTTGGAAGAACTCAGCAGAGTTTGAGCATTCTGTACCAATAGTGACAAAAAAGGAGGTTCAGACCAAGAGCCCAGCCCTGAGAAACAGGTAGGAGATAGAGTTGAGAAGTAGTGGGAGGCAAATCTCCACTACTTTCAAACCTGTTCTCAGTTCAGCAGCTCCAGATCTGGATTTTGAGACTTTTATTCATCTGTTTCCAGAGTAAGTAAATGGAGGAGGCTTGCCATAGAGAAGACAGAATGCAGGTATTCTTGGGGGCAGAGGTGTTTTCAGTTCTGGATGAGAAGAATGAGGCTCAGAGACTAGCAAGATCTGAAAAATCAGGAATGCAGGTGTGGGCCAAACTAAAACTTTCAGAAACACTATATTTATGGATGGCTAAGCAGCAGTCCCTGAGCCCAAATGCTTAAGATCAGAAAATGCAATTTACTTAATTGTGCAGAAAGTATAGTGAAAGTTCAAGGGGACATGCAGGTCGTCAGTCTCCATTCCTCTTGACCATAGATATCTTCAGCCATTTCCACCTAGGGGAAAATGTAGACAAGCCACCAGTCATTGTAGATCCTGAGGAGAAAGACAAAAGGTGGCATAGATGGGGCCTGGGCCTTCTTCCATATGCTCACATCTTCTCACAAGCATGTGGATTGTTCAGGATAGTAGGAGGGCTTTTGAGGCTCAGATTCTCCAGTGGTCACACACAACCAAAAGTGCTATTGTCTCACTAAACTGCAAATCTTAGTACTTTCTTTCTAATATCCTAAAGTTTTCAGAAATGGCATAAGGGTCACAAGGGGTCACAAGTGAGTACCCATACTGATTTGGGAGCTATTGTCCTGTATTTTCATTCCCCAACCCATTCCCCTTTACATAACACCCCAACCTGCCCCACCATGCCCCTCAGACCTGTCTTCACAAGGCCTTGGTAGGCTTCACGTCTCTCAAGGAGAGGATGAAATCAGTCAAGGTAGTAGGCATGTAGCTCAAGGGAATGAAGAAGAGCTTTGCATCCCAGCCAGCTGAGTAGCGGGTTCGAGGGTGGCAGGAAGTCAGTGCGTGTTCTATGCAGTTTGTCACCAAAGACAGGTCAGGGTTGCATTTTTTCTCTGATGTTTTAATAATGTGTTTATCTGTCAAGAATCAGAAAAGACCAAGTTTATACTTTCTTTTCCCACCCTTCTCATCCTAGCATTTGCTTTAGGAGATGCGTTCCTAAGAATTCTTATAGCTCCAAATTTATCCTCCATTCAATTTACTGAAACAATATGACCTGGCCCAGTCCTACTCCAGAGAAGTTATCAGCCTGGTGGTCTAGTGCCTAAGGAGAAAAATTAGTAGTTTCCTCCCATAAAGATTTAGATCCTTGGAAACCTGATGAGAGATCACTATGAGTCACAACCTATTTGACAGCAGTTTGGGTGTTGAGGCTGGGAACAAGTCTAGGTTTTAGCCTGAGAATAATGGATGGCACAAAGGTTTCTGCTAACATTTGGAATCTAAGCACAAGAAAACAAGCTGTTTCTGATAGCAGCTTTCTGAAAGTTCAAAGTTGTTTTTCTTCTCTGGCTTCAAATTATTTCTCAAAATAATGAAGGCATTCAGAGAAGCAGTCCCAGATCTGGTAATCCTGGATCCCTTGTGAAAGTTACAAGTTGACCAGCGAGAACCTTGAGAATGGGACTGAATGTTCCCACTCTGTATTGGAGGCAGAGACTGGAGGACACAGTATGATTCATGGAGTGATAGGCCCAGCCTTCCAGACAAGGGTTTGATTTTCTCATACTGTCTACAACTCACTCACAGGATGCCAGGAACTCCTCGCCATACATCTCTTTTATATCTGGGTTAGCCCGGTCCCACACCTCCTGCAGAACTTGACAATGCTTTGCACTGGAGATTACATCGGTCTTGAAGAAACCCGGTTCAATCATAGCCACCTTCACTCCAAAATAGGAGAGCTCTCTCCTAAAAGGATGGCAGACACGGGGAAAATACCGAACAACAAAGATCAAGGACTGGTGAAAAAAATGTAAATTGAGTCATGAAAAGCAGCAGTCAATAGGTGAATAATAATGACCATAAATTGCTTTTGTATAGAGTTTAAGTAATATAAGAAATAATTCTATCTTATGCAAAAATTAGCTCTGAATCTTACCTATCCCGGGGGAAAGTGCTACTGGAGTGCTTTCTCCTCCTATTTCCAACCCCACCTCCCCCCAACCAGTAATCATTCAGTCTTGCTGATTTTACGTTCAGCATCCTCTGTTCTCCTTTTCCTGCCCTAGGTAATTTTTCAGCTGAGCTCCTACGCCAGTTTTCTGTCAAGTGCCTCTCTGCTTTCAGAATTACCTCTCCTCACTCAGAGCAATGCACAACATATCAGTCAGAGAGATCTCAAGAATTTATTTGACCAAGAAGTTCTCCTGATTAACTCTTATGCATGAGCTTCCACTGACAATAGCATGAAGTGCTAGTACTTCTCCAGGGTTCAAAGGCCCCAAACCCACCTTTGTTCACTTCTCCAGCTACCTGGCTGACCCTGGCCCTGTTCTTCCTTCTTGGTTGACTCACCATAATCCAGGAATCGTATTCAACCTCAGCCTAGGTCTTTGCTGCTATAAAACCTTCAGCATTTCTAGAATCCCTTCTTTGCTTGGTTGTCAGGGTGACTTTTTATGAGCTCATACTCAAGTTCCAGGAAGCTCCCTTTAACAGACTGCCATAGCTAACTTGTTTAGAAGAATTATAAGAAAACAGTGTATCAAAGCAGTCAAAGCAGTGTGTGTGTCCTGCTATCAGCCCAGAGAGTTTAAAAGACCTAACTCTTATTTCTTTAGGACACAATGGGCATTCATACAAGTGCCTGCCTTGCAAATCTCTCCTGGACTGCATCAGATGAGTGCCTCATCTCCATATTTCTTGAAGGTTGATGTCACAGTGGAGAAGCATATATGCTTAGGAGTCTAAGTGTCCATGTTCTATTTCTGGCCTCAGGTCTCAGTTGTAGGGATGTATTTCACCAACTTTAAACTCAGAACAATGGAAGGTAGTTCCTAATGACTGTTTTCACAATTCAGAAACAAAGAAGCAAGAGGCTCTCTCCAAGGAGAGGTCTAAGGCTCTCATTAAATGAGCTTCTAGGAAAAGGCTCACATACAGAGATAGAACTAGCAGAGGTGGGAAGAAGTCTTAATCCTAGTCTCATACCTTAGGGAGTCTGAGAAGGCCTCTACCCCATACTTGGAGATACAGTAGCCTCCACCTATGAAAGACAATCTGCCCATTATACTGGCAATGTTGACCACTCGGCCCCTTGCCTTCCACAGTAGGGGTAGCAGGCTCAGGGTTACTTCAATCAATCCCAGGAGGTTCACATCCAATATTTTCATGAAGTCCTGTTTCAACAGCCATGAATTAGGTGTTGTGGGTATAGAAATGCCAGCATTATTCACCAGGCCCCAGAGACCTGAAAAATATGTTAGAGAAGAGACATTGTAAGGGTATGTTCAGAGTGTAAACTGTTATGGTCCAAATTCACACACATTCTAAAGGAGTGCAAAGATAGCAATAAATGTTGACTGGGAGGAGTAGGGTAAAATAAACAACTGGACGGTATTTGCAGGGTGTTGCACATGTGCAGATGTTGTAAGCTGTAAGACAGTAACTATATTTTCTTTCTCCTTTAATTTCTCCTGGACCTGTCCAGTGTCTGGGAGAGAGTGAGGTGTCCTCCATATTTGGTGAATGTAGGAACTGATATTTAAATAGAGATTACTCATTAATGTAGAAACATAGATAACATGTTTAAGTTTTTACACACTAACGATATTATATATGTCTATCTACATTTTCAGATTTTTAAACAGCACATTATCTAGTAAGTACTCAACAATCTCTTAAAAAATTAGAAGAAACAGAGTAAAGAACAAGAGAAAACTAGAAAAAATAATTTAAAGCTATTATTTCATTTGGGCATAGATAGATTGGCTCAGTTTTGAAATCACTTGCATCAACATTGAACAATAACTACACTGGAGGCAAAATTTGCCTTTCATGCTGGCAAATCAAAGGGCAGGCTTGGGGATAAGATGAGGTATATTCACGTAACACTTGTGTGCCCAAATTCCACTCTTTTCTTCTAGAAATGTCATTCTATCTTCCTTTCTGCTCAGAGAACCACCCTCAAACCATTTCCCTCAGTCTCCAGCCAATCTCGTTTTCAGGAACACTCTCTGGAAAAGATCCATGGAAGAAAGTGTACAATTCTAGGAACTCTAGTAAACAGTTACCAATTGATTAGCCTTAGAGTAGCAAAAGAGTCATAGATTGAATTAGGGTAGAAGGTGGTGACTGCTAACTCTGGAAGTGTTTATCCAAAGACTAAGTACCTCTCTTGCTCAGAAGCATATTCCATGCTTGTAAAAAATGCAAATACTTTGTCTTAGATATTGTATTTTTTTGCTTTTAAAAAGAAAATGTCATCTATTTATTATCAACTTGATGATTTTATAGTAAGCATTGAATTCAGATATTGTATTTTTAAGAATCCATGTTTGTACATGGAATATATATGTTTGTAGAGATTAGCACTCCTGCCAGGACCACGCTCCCTCCCAGACCAGGCTCCCATCTGGATGAGTGGCCAAAGTGCTACACTGCCACCCTGCCATGTGGAGATTGCCACCCTGCCACCCCATGGAGACCATTGTCCTACCACTGCTTCATGGAGACCACCCAGCTGCTGCCCTGCTGTCCTGTGCCAGGCGCACCAATATCACAGATGAAGCCATTTCCTTCCTGAACACCACCTTGGTTCCCCTGGCCCCTCCCAGAGTCAGTACTTAAGCTGCAGATCCTTTGGACTGCAGCAGTTGTCTGGCCGAGAAGGCTTCTCTAACTCACAGACCCAACTGAAGTAAGTATTCCCTGAGTCAAAGGATCAGAGAAGCATTCAGGGAGGGTGAGCGCCTCTTCCCTCCTCTGGAGCAGTGAACTCCTGAGCCAAGGTTATTAAACCAAGGACCTGCTAAGGTCCCAGGCACAAAAAAGTTCCACCACAACAATGACACAGAAGAAGCAGACTAACTCATACCCTACAAAAACAAGATGTCATCCCAAAAAAGTGATTAAAACACAGAATCAATGAATTTTTCTGAAGCCAGAAAATCTGATGGAACTTTCTGACACAGAATTCAAAAGAGCAATGATTAGCTATTTTCAATGAATGAAAGAAAAAAAAAAATTGAAGAATTACAGGACTCTGCAGACAAAAGCCAAGAGGAATTTAAAACAACAACAACAACAACAACAACAAACCAATTGAGGACAATGCAGTTTAAACAAATGAGACATTAGAGACCCTGGGGAAAAACCAAGAAACCACAACCCAGAATACGAAGACCAATGTTTCAGGTGCTGTCAACATATTGGAGGGACATATGAGCAGAGTTGAAGAGATGGAACACAGAACCAGGGAAATAGAAGTAGATTTCTCAGCAATTATCTGCTAGAACAAAAAGCAGAATCAATAAGGAAGGAAAAAGAAGAAAGCCCAAGAATAATGTGAGACACCATCAAGAGGAATAACATGTCCATAATCAGAATCTCAGAACAGGAAGAAATAAGTAAAAACACCGAGAAAGTTATGGAAGAATTATTAGAAGAAAACTTTTTAGAAATAATGAAGAATGAGAGAACATATTTGCAAGAAGCTGAGAAGACTCCATATAGAATAGACCCCAAAAGAAAAACAACAAGGCATAATAGTCAAACTTGCCAGAACCAAAGATAAGGAGAGAATTCTGAAAGCAGCTAGGAGGAAACAAAGAATAACCTATAAGGGAGAGTAAACGAGATTAAGTGCCAATTTCTCAGCAGAAACCAGGCAAGCAAGAAGAGAGTGGAATGAATGACATATATTAACCATTCAAAGAATACAACTGTTGACCAAGAATACCATATCCAGCAAAACTCTCCATCATATTTGATCAAGATATTCTCAGATAAGCAGAACATAAGGGAGTTTGTAAAAGTTAGATTAGGGTTAGAGGAAATACTGAAGGAAGTCCTTCTTACAGAGATACCAGAGAAAGTAAGATGGACCAAAGTAATCAGCAACAACACCAAAAAGAACTCAACAAAATGATAACAATAAAACCTTGCCTCTCAATAATTACACTGAATGTGAATGTTTTAAATGCACCAGTGAAGAGAAAAAGAGTAGCAGATTGCATTAAAAAAACAAACAAACCAACCCACAAACCCATCAATATGCTGTCTACAAGAGACACACTTGAAAAGTGAAGATAAAGAAAGACTAAAAACAAAAGGGTGGGCGGAAAATATATCAAGCAAATGACAATCAGAAAAAAGCTGGAGCAGTGATATTAATCTCTGATAAAATAGATTTCAGTGTAAAAGCCATCACAAAGGACAAGGAAGGTCACTATATAATGCTTAAAGGATCAATAGAAAAAGAGGACATAACCATAATAAATGTCTATGTACCAAATGATTATTGTTGTTTTGTACCATCGACTCAGCTGCGAGTCATGGCAACCCTATGTATTACAGCTCTAAACCTGGCTCTATGCTGTGCCAATCTTATTGTCTCTGACACACCTTCACCTAATACCCCAGACACTGAATCAATCCATCTCATCGAGGGTCTTCCTCTCTTGTGCTGTCCCTTTACCCTCCCAAGTATGATGTCTCTCTCTAAGGAATAGTCCCTTCTTGCAACATGTCCAAAGTATGTCAGATGAAGTTTCAGAATCTTTGCCTCCAAAGAGCAGCCCAGTCTTACCCTCTCTAGGATAAACGTGTTTGTTCTCCTAGCAGTCCATGGTATATTCAATACTCCTCCAGCACCATACCTCAAAGGCATCAATTTTCCTTCTGTCATCGCTAGTTATTGTCCAGCTTTCTGATGCATAGCAAGTAATTGAAAATACTATGGCCTAGATCAGGCGCATCTTAGTCTCTAGACAGCACCAGATGATAGAAACAAAACAAATACTAAAAGAACTGAAAAAAAGAAATAGACAACACCACTATAGTAGCAGGAGACTTCAATACACTACTCTCAAGGGAAGATAGAACTACCAGGAAGAAACTCAACAAAGATGCTGAAGAATTAAACCACACAATAAGCCAACTGGATCTCATAGATATATACAGGCTAATTCATTAAAAAAAGTGTAGTACATCTTCTTATCCAATGTGCATGGAACATTTTCCAGAATAGATCACATTTTAGATCACAAAGCAAGCATCAATAAAATAAAAAACATAGAAATAGTATAAAGCATCTTCTCAGACCAGAATGGTACAAAATTAGAAATTAATAAGAGGGAAAAGGAATAAAATAAAAATTTGGAAGCTGATCAACACTCTGCTTGAACATACATAGGTAATATAAGAAACAAATAATGAAATTAAAAAGTTTCTTGAAACAAATGACAATGAAAACACAATTTTCCAAAACCTCTGGGAAACAGTTAAAGCAGTAATAGTTTTTGTTGTTGATTGCCTTTGAGTCAAGCATGGCTCATAATGACTCTGTGAGCAAAAGGCCTGAAGCCTTTTTATAATTATCTACATTTATCAAGGTTCAATGAGTTTCCAGAGGCATTTGTTTGGCAAGTGGATGTCAATAAGGAAAAAAAAAATGATAATTGATTCTTTAATCCAACATCTCCAACAAATTGTAAAAGAATAGTAAGGAAAACCAATACCCTCAGGAAAAAAAAAATGATAACAATTAGGGCAAAAATAAATGAAATAGAAAACAGAAAAACAATTGAAACCATCAACATGACCAGGAGTTGGTTCTTAAAAAAGGTCATTAAAATTTACATACCACTAGCAAAACTAAGAAAGAACAAGAAAGAAAAGACACAAATAATCTGGATAAAGATGAAAGGGGCAACGCCACAACAGAAACAACTAAAATAAAAAGGTTAACAATGTAGTATTATGAAAAGCTATGGACAATATCCTTCCATGCAATTAACTGCCTCTGAAAACCTGCTGGAGGGTCAGCCATGGGTCTGTTCCAACTCAAAGGTACACAACAACAGCATACTCAAACAAATAAGAAAACTAGAGGAAATGGACAAATGCTTAGAAACTCACAACCTTCCTAAACTGACACAGACTGAAGAAGAACACCTAAATAGACCCATTAAAAAAGAAGAAACCAAAGAAATAAATAAAAAAACTTCCAACAAAAAAAAATTGTTGGACCAGAAGGTTTTACTAGTGAATTTTATCAAACATTCAGAGAAGAATTGCTACCAATTCTACATGAAGTATTTCAGAAAATAGAAAAAGATGGAATTCTCTCAGACTCATTCTATGAAGAAAACATATTCTTGATACCAAAGTCAGGGAAAGACACCACCAAAATAGAAAACCATAGGCCAATATCTCTCATGAACATAGATGCAAAAATCCTCAAAAAAA